TCTCTGATGAATCCTCTCACCCTCCTGTGCATCTGGCTAGTACCCCAGTTCTTGTGCAAATAAACAAATCTTAAAAAAAAAAAATACATATATATATATATATATATATATGCACCACATTGCAGTTGGGCAAGGAATGTCAGTAATTAAATGTGAAAACAAGTATCCAAATCTGCAGAATTGCCTGTGATTCCATTGAATGGAGTGACTAGACCCAAATATTTCACCTGTAGATCCCTATTATTGCCTGATGTCCATCAACATTTCAATTTTTCAGTTCTTTCCTTTCTCTCAAATTCTTTGCCTTCCAGACAATTAAATTAAAATCTGTCCTCTTTAGAGAACATTGGTCCAGCTGACTTCGGTATTTCAGGCAGGGTGCCAACCGTATTTTCTTTTAGATATTAAAAATTATCATTTTGGGTTATGTCTGGGTAATTTATGATTTTGCTTTTACTTCCATTTTTTCTCCTGAATAAAAATTGAGCTTTGAGTCAACAACATAGGGACTGGGGACCAAAAAGTGCAATAAATTCACCAAGACAAATCTAGAATGTATTAAATCACTACATCAGTTATCATTTTCTGTTGTCCACATCTTGCAGGCTTTCAAACACTAGCAATTTCCAAATATGTTATTTTTATAACCTAGTCACATTAGGTTTGTGCGCGTGTGTGTGTGTATTAAAGCTCCTACATGATACATTTCTCTAATTTATATGTAACTATTTCAAATGTAAACCTGTTTCCAAAACATACACTTTTATTTCTGACTATTTCCAAACTTTCACTATAATTCTAAAAGTTTTAAATTAATCTCATTCCCCCTACTAAAAAAGTCACTTAAAAATAATGCTGTAGTAAAATAATAATAATAATAATAATAATAATAATAATAATAATGCTGTAGTGGTTTCTTTATATTAAAATTTTCCAGCCATTTTATTCACATCTTATTGATTTGTCTAGGTCTTTCTTTCAAACAATATCACATTGCTGGCATCATTAGCTGCTTCAAATTGATAAAGAAATGTCTAGATAGATAAATGTTGGTAAGTATTTAATGTCCCTTTTATTCTGTTTTGTAGTAGACCTGATGGTTCATCACAAAGCACTGAAGGGAACTGCCCCAACTGATGATATTTGGTCACCAAAGAAACCACCAGTGATCTAGATCTGTATACCCTTATCATGATAAAGAAACATCTTTCTATCTTTGAAAATAAATGAGCACATTCTGAATCTTAACAAGTTTTAAATAGATCTGTCATTACAATCCTGGTTTCTAAGAATTTAAGCATCCAGACTGGGCCTGTGGGTTTTGCCCAGTTTCTTTCCTCAAGATGAAAAACAATTGAGCGATATTGTGAGGAAATGTACCTCCTGGTGTGTGTCCTTTTGTGTGAACCAAGAAGACAGAGAAGAGGACATTTGTGGAAAGGAATAGGAGTCAATTTGGCTGCTGGGATTAGAAAGTGATGCTGGAGGTCCTCAGAATCTGTGCTCTATCTCCTGTCACATGGCTGCTAGCTAGCGGTTTATATTAAGAAACCTAGATGGGTAGGCCTAAAAATTGTAACAGTTTGTGTGGAAATGGTGTGATGTAACAAGTTAAGAAATAACTCCCTTACTTTTTGTGTAACTACTAGTATAAGCAATTTCATCCTTCTCTTTTTTTCTTTTCCACTCTTAAGCCAGAAACATGATCCTCAGCCAGGGTTTGTAGAGGTGTGGAAGCTCTGAGAATAGTAGATCATTGTCATATTTTCCTCTTTATGTCTACTACAAGGTTGCTTGTAATGAGGGAAAGCATTATTTATTCCAAAGCTCAGAACAGGTCAGCCAGAGGCCCAGAGGGCTAGACTTGGTGACTTTTATAAAAGGTTCTGTTACAGGGCAGCCCCGATACAAAACAGGTTGCCTGACTGTGGGTCCTCACCCATGCCCTTAAAAGGGACTTATTAATACTTAACTGCAGGCACACACAAAAGGTTAATAAAAGGTTTATTTACAAGGGAAAGGGGAAATGAGGAAATGTACAACTCAGGGAGAAAAGAGGGAGATAAAGTCTCAAATGTGTCCTACCCGTTCCACCGACATGGGATCCCAAATGGCACTCTGAGAGCTGGCGGTGAGCCAAGAGCCATGAAGCCAAGAAGCGAACCACCCCAAGGCCCACATGTCTGGTTTTTATATCAAACCTGGCTGCTTAACGCCACCCTCAGGTCCCAGCAACCTTCCCTTTGGTGGGGATGGGATTTGTCTTTCCCAATGTCTTGATGGCTTTGGTCTGGAGTGGGGGTGGAGTCCACAAAGCCTGTATGGAATTAGCTCAGGACATCCTTTCCCTCTAACAGTTCCACTTAGGTAGATGTAAAACTCAACCCCTCTGCTGGATTAGGCCAACTCTCCTCACTTCCCCCTCTACATGGCTTGTCCCTTGACAAGATTTCCCCCTCCAGTATGACACTGTTCTTTTCCTTATCACTGATGATGAATACCATGAGAAATGCAGGAGCAGGTGATGTGTGACTGACTCAATTCTAAGCAAATGGCTTACTTCAAGCAAGATCTTCCTTCCTTCATGAGGGACATTCTCCAGTGTAGATTTGGCTGCTGGGATTAGACCCCTTCAGAGATGGAGGTACTGCTTGGAGGAACTGTTCTTCTGGAGTTCTCTTCCTCTTAAAAAGGCTCCCGTTCCTCCAGTGTCCCCCATAGATATAATAGGGCTGGTATCCATGACCTACTCATGCCCGCCCTCCATTCTCTGCCCTCACTCTGCCTGTCCAATGGAGCAGTGCTATGACTTGGACCTCAGTGTTAGCCCCCAGTATCTTACCATCACGAGTCGGGTCAAGGCAGCCATCTCTGTCTTCTCCCACCAAAGCAGGAAGATCTGGGGAATGTACAGGGAAATCCAGAGTTGGGTGGGGGAGTGACATCCCCTTTAACTGTGTGTCCCAAGGGCAGGTTCCCCAATCTTGGGTTCCTGCCCCCACCGATTGCTGCCATCCCTGGAAGATGGCACCTGAGGCTGATTTTGCTCCTGCTGCGAAGGGGTGGCCAAGGTGGGACTGGTGCTGACCCTCAGCCTCCTCCTGTAATGGGAGCCCTGGAAGAAGATTCCTTCATTGTTGTTACTTTCATTCCTTGAGCTCAAGGTACCTGCCCATCTTTTACATATTGACTCTTTTGAAATGGCATTTAAGTTACTTCCCCCCTGGCCTAACGGATACCCCCTCCTCCCAGCGACATGGGGAAACTTACTGTTTTGGAAAGACTGTTCATGTCATATGTCTCTACTTCTCTTTCTGGAAATTTTTTTCTGTCTGAATTGCCCTCTCCTATTCTTTAATGAAAAATATTTATTATGAAAATTCCCTCCCAACATATCTTTTCCTGTGAAGACTGCCTTGAATTCCTCCCACTCTAGCTCTTTCCACGACATGATGACTAATAACCCTTCTTTGATACCAGAGAGCCAGCTGGTCTCAGGGCCTTTGGCCAATAAAGGAAACAGAGCTGAGGCGACTCACCCTTCATTGCTGTGTCCTCCTTACCACTCCAGGGCTCTTATCAAGGCCTGGTTTGTGTCACAACTGAGGGCTGCTCTTGAGAGGAATTCTCAGCTCTTGGGTCTTATATAAAACTCATACCATCAGGTCATCCCTGGCCCCACACTTGTTCAAATATATACACACATAAGGAAATAATGTTGACTTTATACATTGCTTAGATATCATCTCAAAATAATTGAAAATAAAAATAAAAATGTTTAAAGCATTCTGTTCTTCCCAACAGGTTTCACTCATTCTTCTTGGAGCTTCAAAATTACCTGCTAACTACAGCTCAGGTTTTGAGCAAAGCAAGTGTGGTGTCCCTAGACTGTGCCCTGTGTAGATAGCATCTCAGAGATCACAGCCCAGTGTTCTTTAACACGCTTCTTAGGAAGTTTTTTACCACCCCCGAGTCAAAAATCACAGAGTTCACATTGGTCAATGTTTTCTAGCACTACTCTAAACTTCTGCATTTTGCTTTATTTTATCCTACTAACAAATCTAAAAGGTTCATATAAACATCCCCATCTTATGATGAGGCAACTGAGGAAGAGGGAAATAAAATTCTATAATTTGCCTCCTCTTAAGTTGCCACATCAGAATTTGGGCTGAGAATGTCTATACTCAGAGCAGAGATGAGTATTTATATAATACTTATGCCTGAGGTATTTAAATTGTCATTTAACAGAAAACAAAAAATTAACAAACAATCCTCTTCCTAGTTTGGAAGAAATACGATGTTCTCTATTTTTTCACCAAAAGGGATTTAGGGTTTGTTCTATCTTTTGTTCCTCTACAAAATCTTTACCCAGAGGACAAGTTGTCACTGTAAATAAACCTGCCACATGCTCATTTTCAAGCCTCTGGAGTGGGTTTGAGGGGTGGGCATAGGTTTCCAGGACTGGGGAGACCCAGGCTATAACAGAGGCTTCATTCACTTCCTGGTCCAGGCAGGCTGTCCTGTTTCTCCAGAAGGGGGAAACCCTCCAGCTGGGCACAGTTGGACACCTCTGCTCCCTACCCCCTCTGTCTCCAAGAAAATTACTATTGGGAGATGTGGATTCCAGTCCAAGCTGCTTCAGGACTCCTGGCAGGACTTCCCTCCCTCCCCTGAGATCACAAGTTATATGCCCTTTGTTAACTCCATTCCTTGAAAATGGTCGCCAAAAGAAAACCAGGATTAGGTTGGGGTTCAAGCATCAGTGCTGTATGATCTTCCCTGTTCCTCCTGGAGAACCAGCAAACAGATCATCTGATCCACATGGAAGAGAGGCTTCTCCCAGCAGAGAAAACCTGGACAAATTCCCCTCCTTCTCACATTGTCCTCCTCCTGTTGACTGAACCTCTGATGCTCCTCCCACTCTTCTCCTCTTGGAGGCCACACCCCTTATAGTTTAATATAAGATCTGAACCTCAGGGGCCCCAGAATTGCAGAAACTGGCCTCCTCTCTCTCCCAGAGAACAAACTAGACACCCAGGTGAGTGCCCACCAGGTGGTCTCTGGAGCTGCTTCTGCTTGAGGATGAAGAGGCAGGAGCAGGAGGGGAGAGGCCAGCATTGAGACAGCTTGGCCAGGCATAGCCAGGGGGCTGGGTAGAGCTTGTCAGCTGCAGAGAGACCCCGTGGGCCTGGGGAAGGAGCAGTCCAGAGACTGGGAGAGAAAAGCATCTCTCTGAAGAACACACAAATTCTTGTTTCAGGCCCTTGGTTGAGTGTCCTTGATTGAGCTGGAGGACAGCAGGGTCTGTCAGCCTGATCCTGAGTGTCAGGGCAGCTCAGGATCCTCTAATAGGGTGGTTGAGCACGGGGTACACATGTATTTGACATCAAAATGCCTCAGCAGTCACAGACAGGACTGCCAGAGTTTGGTCACTTTGGCGCTCACCCACAGAGGGGAGGATTGAGTTTCTCTAGCAAGCAGGAGAAAACTCTTTAGAACAATAGTGTCTGATACCTTGGCAGATCTCAGGAAGAGGGTGATTTTCTTGCTGACTTAAGAGGAAACTGTAAGGAGGGGGCCTAGCGGGGAGAGCGGGGTCCTTCTCTTAAGAAGCGCCTTTTCCTCTTCTTTCCTCTCCCAGGTGGGGCCTCCAGGGGAGCGCGGCCACCATGGCTCTGAAGTCCCTCGTCTTGTTCTCACTGCTGGTCCTGGTGCTGCTGGTGCTCGAGGGGGCCCAGCCTTCCTTGGCCCAGGATTTCCAGCGGAAGCACATGGACACCAGTAATGGCCCCTTTGGCCGCACCTACTGCAACCAGATGATGAGGCGCCGGAATCTTTTACGCAGGACCTTCAACACCTTTGTGCACGCGTCCCTTGCGGCTGTCCAGGCCGTCTGCCGTGAGCCAAACATTCGCTGCAGAAATGGGCAGAACAACTGCCACAGGAGCAGGAATCAAATGAGCATCACAGACTGTATTCTGACACGCAGGCGCCCCAGCCCTAACTACCGGACCATCAACCGCAGGGCATCCATCATCATTGCCTGTGTGGGGAACCCGCCTGTGCCCGTCCACTTTGATGGTTCTCGCTAGGTCTCCACTGAGGCCAGATAGAGATGCACCCCCACCCCCATTCATGCTGTGGCTCCTACTCTCCTGAGCTCTTCCCTCTTTACCCTGAAGGGAATAACCCAAGTTGGGCTCCTGGCCATCCCACACCAGCATCCCTGCCTGAGGCTTGCACCATGTGGTTTTGTGGTGAGAAATGGCTTGTGTGGGGCCCCCTGTGAACCTCCTCACTACTTCTTTCAATAAAACACTCTTGCAACCTGCAGCTGCCCCAGCCAAGGACTGTCTGTGTGATGCTTCCCTGCAGGCCTGAGAGTCGGGAATTGGGGAGCTCTGGGGAGCAGCATGGGGAGAAATCAAGTACCTGCTCTTCTAACTATCGTTTTCAGTGACCAGAGAGAATCCTTTCCTAGAGATTCTTTGAAACAAGGACGATATTTTAAGTGTGGGCTGTTTTAGTACAAGGCAGCGATGGGACTGTGGGTGCCCAATGGGGGGTGTGCTTGGTAACATACATCTAAAGAGGGGTGACCCTGTACCATGAATCATATGTGGTGTTGGAAACCAAAGTCATCTTTTTAAAAAATAATAAAATTTTAAATGAAATACAAACTGGGACACTGTCCTGCTGGGTGACCAGACACAGGGTGAGTCAGCTCAAGTACAATAATCCCAGAACCAGGAAGAACAGCAGGACCTCAGGGGACCCTGCTCAGCTTAAGGGTAGGAAGTAGGAATCTTGAAGTTATGGTCCTAAATTTCTATTTTCTTTTTCCTTTGAGTGAGCTAGTACTAAATCAGAAGAATGGAAGCTCTTTCTTGAAAAGTCAAACATCACATGTAGGAGCAAAAGGGACTGTGAGACCATCAGATTGCAGGGAAGTGGGTTCCAGATTGTGTAACTGCTCTAACTGGCAGCCCCGGCTGCAATGCCCCAGATACATGTCTGAGGAGGGAGGTGCTGGAACACCTCTGGGGAGGGCACCAGAGTGTGGGGAGAATATGCCACCCGCTGCCCATCCCTGGTCTGAGGTCACCCCTGCCTCTGACTCAGGAGCCTCTGGAGCCTCAGACAGGGCCGTGTCTTGCCCTTGCCCCACTGCTCGTCTCGGCACCGCCAGGGCCACAGCTGCTCAGCCATTGCTCTTCTTTCTGCTGCCCGCCCCCCCGGAAGGGAGTTCCCATGTCTCCCTCCTTCCCTGGGCTGTGGGGTCTGGCTGCTCCCTAGCTCCCTGGCACCTCTTCCCCCTGACCCAGCCTCTGGGCCTGTGGTCATGCTGCTCCCTTCTTGGCAGCCCTTCTCTACAGGCACTGAGAAGACTGGACTCAACTGTCCCCACTTTCTCATTTCCCTTGACCCTGTTTACAGTTGCCCCTGGAGAGAGATAGGCCATTCAATCAGCTGGACCAGTTCTGTCTTTGTCTTGTCTTTAGCATTTGTGAGTGTTGTGACTGTGCTTTTCTTATTTAGTCACGTGAATCCCTAGGCCTAGGGGCATCTGTGTGAGGAAAATGCCTGCAGGTGAGAGGGGATGGGATCCCTAGATGTGGAATTGGGGATCTTGTTTCTTAGTTAGCATGGGGGGTGTTGGAGGGGGTGTGTGTGTGTGTTGAAGGAAACTTCAAGTATCTAGATGTATTATTTTCTTTAGCCAGAATTATTCTTCAGTTCATCTTACTCTTCTTATTAACCCACAAACTCCTCATTTTCCCTCCTGCTAAGGGGACACTGTAGAGGGGGTGTAAGCACGCTCAGGTGGAGTTTGGCTATATGTTGGTCTCACACTCATCTGTTCTCTTTTGGTCCTCACCTCAGGATTGGAGGGGAGCCTCTATCTGGGGAGTCAGTGGTTGGAAGGACTCTGGTCCAGGCGCAGCCCTGCACATCAGAGAGTCTGTGGGGTGGGGATGTGCTCTGAGTAGGGGACCCTGGCAGAGGGGAGAGGGCACCTGTCCTGGCGGGGTCAGCACATACCAGGAGAGAAACCTCAGTCATGGACACTCTGGAGTCTCTGCTCTGCAGACGGTGCTACTAGCCCACACATCAGGAAGCTCACCCTTTCCAAAAGTTAAATCTTAAGTTGAGTTTTAACTTCTTCAAATGTATATCTACTTGAAAGCAAAAACGATCAGACAGTGCTTTTTCTTGAAAAAAGATGAGGGATGGGGAATATAACCAAAATGAAAATGCATGCATTTTGTAAAAATGAAAAATGATATAAGAATTATATAAAATAAAATAATTTATATTAAAAAAAGATGAGGTTCAGAATAGGAAGAGAGAGACTCCCAATCAAACTACGAAATCACCCAAATCTTTGTGGACAATATCTTGGCAAAAGGACAGGTGCACAGCTGAGCCAGAGAATGAGTCTGGACCCTCTGGCAGTGAAAAAATAAAATATCTATGGGTTGGTCAGAGCTTAAGATTGTGGGAGGGGAGAGACCTAGAATTTGCCATGTATTATCCAAGTGGACAACTGAGCACAGGGTCAGGACCGAGCTGCCAGCGTCCTGCCCTCCTGACAAGTTGCCCAAACCACCAAACCTGGGACATGAACAGCCCTTCCCATGTCTATCCTCTCCATACCACACCCACAGGTCTGCCCTGTTCCTTCCTTTTCTCATCTGCCCCCTGCTGGAAGTTCACCACCCACAGGGAGATGAAATCTAAGGCCTCTGAAATTTATTATTTATTTATTTTAGGATTTATTTATTTATTTGTTTGTTTGTTTTTTTTTAAGATTTATTTATTTATTTATACAAGCATTGGGTACAGTCAGAAGCGCGGGACGGTGAGAGAATTCACCAGAGCCAAAGTGGGGAGCAGAGCAGGCAGAAGGACTGAAGTACACTGCTGAGGGGAGCAGCGGGCTGCAGGAGAGGTCTGTGTGCCATGTGGGACCCTCCTCCAGTGGCCGGGGAACAGCCGGGGATTGAACCGGCGCTGCATTGAACCAGCTGTGGGCATCTTTGCAACCCAGCACTCAACCGCTGCGCCACTGGGGAGGCCCGCCTCTGAGATTTAGTTGTATGGAAGAGGGGCATGAAAAATGGAGCCCATTCCCATGGCCATGACAATACCTCCCTGTCACCCATCCAGGGAAGCGACAATCCTGTCACAAAGGCATATGGCCCTCAGCTCGTGTCCTTGTGGAGATTTGATTACTGATTCGATTCTGTATTGGTGTGGTCTGTTCAAGGTGTCTATTCCTTCCTGGCTGAGTCTTGGAAGGTTTTATGTTTCTAAAAATGTGTGTATTTTTTCTTCCTTGTCTAGTTTGTTTGCATAATGATGTTCATAGTAGTTTCATATGATCCTGTGTATTTCTTAAGTATCTGTTGTGACTTCACCTCTTTCATTTCTGACTCTTTTTATTAGGGTTTTCTCTTAGTGAGCTGAGAAGAGGTTTGAGAAGAGGCTGAGAAGAGGCTTATCCTTGAGAGCTGAGAAGAGGCTTATCCTTAAAAAAAAAAAAAACAGCTCTTGGTTTCATTGATCTCTTGAATCATCTTTTGTTTCTATTTCATTTATTTCTACTTTGCTTTTACTGTTTCCTTTCTTCTACTACTATTGGTTTCCTTTTTTTGTTTTCTGGTTCCTTCCAATGTAAGGAACCAGAGTATGTATTGCTGTGACCCGCCCTTTCAATGTCACTCTGCATCCTGCAGGATCTGAGAGCTGCTCTCTTCTTTTCATTGGTTGCCAATTATCCTCTGTCCTGACCCAAGAATTACTCTGAAGGGTTAATTTTAATTGCCACATATTTGAGTCTTTTACAGTTTTCTTTTTGTGGTTGATTTTTAGGTTCATACCATTGTTGTCAGAAAAAGTGATATGATTTCCACCTTCACAGTTTCATGGAGGGTTTTTTTATATCCCAGGGTAGGATCTGACCTTGAGGATGGTACATGTGCATTATGTGTTCATTACTTTTGGGATGGAAATTGCTCTCCATCTATTTAATTGGTGTGATCAATTATTTCACCTAATGTCATTACCTCTTTGTTTGCTTTCTGATCTGTCCTCTGATGTAAATGCTGAGTCAGGGTCCCCACTATCAGTGTACTGCGGTCACCGTCTGTCAGTTTTGTTCATAAGTGTTTTCTGTCCCAGCTGCACATGGGCTGGGTTCATAAACATAATGACAGTTAATATCTTATTGGAACACCCCTTTTGTCAGTATATATTGCCCATCAGTGCAATTATTACCTTTTTCACTAACAGTTTAACTTAGTGAACTAGTTAACAGTTTAACTAATCAGATATTAAAATATCAGTTTCTAGTTTTTTCTCTAAAAATCCAGAAAACTCTTGCTCCAATTTTTCACTGCATTTGTCTTTCTATTTGATGTGAGTTTCTTATTTCCATAATATAATGAATCCTACTTTTTAATCCTTCCAACCACACTGTGTCTTTGATTGCTAAATTCAGATTGTTCAACTTTAGGGTCATTATTGTTACATGCGGCTTAATTGCTGTCATTTTCATTTTTATTTTCTGGTTATTTTCTATTTAGACATAGAAACACATGAAAACTATGTTTCTGTCTTTCTATTTCCATAGTTCTTTCTCTCAGTACTTTACTTTTATTTCTTTTGTTTTGTGATTGCCATGAGATTTGTTTCAAACTTTTGATGTCTGAAATAGTCTTTTTTTTTTTTTTTTGCCCTGGAATCAACTCATCATCACTGTCCATTTTATCATAGTAATGATCACAAGCAGGTCACAGCACAGTTCCATCACCCCAAATCCTCCTAATCTATCCCTTTATACCCTTCTCCTACCCAAACAACTGGGAATCTTCATAAACACAACAAGCTGTTCTTGTATGGTCATTATGAGAAGCACATATCTTTGTGTGCTGCCAATACTAAAGTGAATTAAGTTAATCTAGTCCTCTAAGTATTTTTTTCCTAATTGGAAAGATGTGTATTCAAGTTTGTGTGGCACAAATCCTCATGAAAATTTCTAAATATAGATGAAGATAATGCCTAGCCCAGTCGTTGCCTTCCTGTTTCTACCAAATCAGTCAATCTGAATTTTGTTCCCTTTAGATAGTACTTTCCTAACTACACTCCCTGCCCCATGAAATAAAAACAGGCATACTGTTTTATTGAATTGCGTTGAGTTTTAAGAGCCAAAAATCATTCTACTATCCAAGATTTTTGTTATTCAATAACCAATTGTAAGGGCCCCTTACATCTACAAGGGCCCCTGTCATGTCCTTGCCTGTGAACCCTAGGCTTTTAGAACATACGAAAT